TGTAACCATTCTTTGCCATCCTATTTGAAGAAGTTGTGGGGAGAACAAGAACTCAAGGTCATGAAGAATGTCAAAAGGAAGAATGCCTATTGCCTCCTCAAATCACTGAATACTACCATGCCAAACGCTGGGAATCAGCCTCCTGGCCTGTAACTTCATTCAATTCAAAAATCGGTCTTATTATTTCAAAGAGAAAGGATAAAGTGATGGACCAGTTCTTTAATCCCAGACCAGATTCACTGGAGGTGTGCTGCTGCATTGTAGTGTCCATGGTTTATCTGAAAGCCAATGACTTTGAGGAAAGCTAGGCTAGGGTTTCCTGGGAAGGAAGCTAGTATTTGAAGTTCAAACCATATATCTCATAGCTGCTGTGCTAAGATGTCTATATAAATTGCTTTGCTGAAATTCCATATTTATTTCCTAAGCTTCAATTTCCCCTAAAAACAGAACAATTTCTATCTTGAAATATTATGAGCCCCAACTCTTCATAAACTAGTCTAAAAAAATAAACTAGTCTTGATTTATTGGGATTTAGAGAAAGGAAGGCAATTAATAGAACACCTACTATGGATTAAGTCATGTATGTTATCTCATCCTTAGCCCCACTTTAAAAATAAGACAAGTGAAATTAGGCAGAAGTGATCTAAGTGTTCCCCAGTGGCGAAATCTCCACCAAGAATTTAGAAAATAGCTAGACAATGGTGGTGCATGCTGTTAGTCCCAGTACTCAGATAGATCTCTGAGTTTGAGGCTGGCCTGGTCTACAGAGGGAGTCTCAGGACAGCCAGGGCTACACAGAGAAACCCTGTCTCAAAATACAAAACAAAACCAAAAGAATTCAGAAAATATTTAGTGAGTAATTATGACATGGCAGGCATTTTTCTTGCTTATAATGAATAAAATAGATTATACCTCAAAAAAGGATTTTGCCACAAGTTACCCAAAAAATGTCTGAAGATGAAGTGACTTGATGGAGTATAGAGAAGAAAAGTCAATGGCACTGTGGGGTCATGGTAGGTAGGGTTAAGATGCTAGTATTAGCTAGCCAAAGGATGATGATGAGTAGGGTTAGAGGATAATTGTCTGGAATGTAAAGGAGGAGTTGAGGCTATTGATGAAATAGCACATGTTCAACAGATAGGAGCTGTTTAAAGCTATTCACAGAAGGGTTGTCTAGGAGAAAAGAATAGAAGGGAGGCATGATTAAGAACAGAAGTCTATGGGTGATGGGGGAGAGACAATACCTCAGCCTAGAGAATTTACTTAAGAAGTAAGTAGGGAACCATAGGTATCTGGTATAGTAGAATGCTAGAGAAACATCTCCAAGAAGAAACCACCACTAGTAATTCAGCTGAGGTGTAAAATACAAAGCAACAACCTCAAGTTCTGGTGGAAAGGTGGTTGGTTTTATTCCACAAATATTTATTATCAACTCTTTATTAAATATTGCTTGAGCGAGTAGGGCTATACCATGGAACACAAGTAAAGATTCCACAGGAAGGAAAAACACCAAAGAATTCATCTGTAGCATAGTTGCTGGTTATAAGCACTTCACAGAAAACTGAAGCAAGGAAGCAATGCTAGGTGGTAGTTCTTACTTGTATCAGCACTGGGGAGGTTGAGGCAGGAGGATTGTGAGTTTGAGACTGACCTGGGCTAGTGCTTTCTAGACCGTCATGGACTACAGACTGTCACAGTATCAAAAAATAAAAAATAAAAACAACAAATAAAAAACAAAAAGCAGGAAGTAGAACTCTATGTGGAGAGGGATATGATACAGTTCCAAATATGGAGGCCAGGTGACATTAAGACATGAATGAGTAGAGGGGCTAAGTATGTGTGGAATAGATGTACTTAAAGGAGGGAAGAAAATATGTAAGTGCCTTGAAAATTCAAGTGTTTCCAGTGACTGGAGCAGAGTACATGAAAAGTTCACCAAATGGCCTTGGAGGGGAATGGGCAAAGTGTATGGAGCTGTTGTCCAGAGATAGGGTTTGGAGCAGAGATCCTAGCTGACCTCTATGATAATGGGATGATGGGAGCTACTGTTGATTATTAGATTTTTGGGATAAGGGCTGGGACAAAGGCTGGAGCAAGGAGATCTGTTAAGGAACATCTCCAGTACATTGAGTTGAGGGGAAAAAATATGGGTGCTGAGCCACGTGGCAAAGGTGAAGCGGTGGAAAATTTGAGTGCAAATACTTCTTGAGTGTGAAGCTGGTGAGATGTGTTGATCAACTAGACATTGTATGAGACTGGTCATTCCACCATCAGTCTCAGCCCGAGCAACTGGAAGGAACTGGGGGAAACTTCAGTGGGGTAGTTTTGAATCTATTAGGATATATAGAGACATTGCCATGGCAACAGCAGAAGCCAGGTAAGGTTTTGGAGATAGGAAAAATGGATGACTGAAGATACAAATGTGTGATCTGCTAGGTACAACTGTTGTTTAAATCCACAAAAAAAAAATATAGATGAGATCAGTGAGTTTTGAGAAAGGCTGTTCAAGGGATGCTACAGTGGACCAGCTGAGATCACAGAGCTGAAGAGGGACAACACTGTGTGGAGCTGTGTAATCACCATGGGAGATTGCCTATACCGCCACTTCCAGTCGAGTGATACAGACAATAGCCAGCTCAACTCAAGCCTGGGAGAGAAGTGGGACTAGTCCTTGAGAGTACCAGAAACTCTAAAGCAGAAAGCAGAGTAGCAGGGCAGTATCCCAAGCGCAGTGGAGTATGAGGCATTCAAAAGCCCTAACAGCCACCTCATGCAATAAAGGTGAAGAATTAGTAGAGAGAGCAAAACTGATGATACAGAAGACCAGAAATAGCTCAGTGATGAACACAGCAATGGGAGATATGGTCTCTGTGGGCAGCAGGGTCAGTTTGCCTGTCCTGTGTGGAACATGTAGGGGTGGAAAGCCCATGCATACCCTCTCTTGATGGTGTCTTTCCTTTGTAGTGAACCAGAAGTCAGTGTCATTAGCAGAATGAGTATACAGGGAAATGCTTGAATTTTGAAAAGAAACAGCTGTCTGGAAGGGGGTAGTGAATGGATGAGGATAAAATTCCCTGGCACCAACTGGCCCACTTGGCAGTAACATAGCAGTGTTTCTTCTGCCTTGCTAAGATGCACAGAGGATGACTGGAACTATTAAAGTTTGTGGGAACAACAAAAAGAAACAGAGGTTTGACATTCAAAGAATTCATTCATTTTACTCTGAGGCCCAGTGATGAGAGGAAGCAGAAGGAAGCATCATTGCAGCTTCAAGTGTCTTCAAGGAGAGACTGGTTTTATTTACAGAATGGAAGGCAAACCAGCATTTTGGGAGGGAGCACACAGGAGATCTGGCTATTCTTGGTGAGACCTGTTAAGCTGAGCAGCAGATAGATGCTAAAGCTGGATGAAGGCTGAAGGCAAGGTAGCAAGCACATGCCCAGTGTGTGGTACATGTGTTTTAAGAATCCTGGCAAAAGCAATGGCTATGGGAAGGTTGGAGGATGACAATGACAGGTCCAAGACATAGTGGGAAGATGAGTCTTACATCACACAGTTGAAAGAAATGGTAAAGATGGCTACAGCCACAGAAGCTGACTGGCCTGTGAAGCAGAATCACCAGATATTTCTCTCATGGATTAATCTATTTGCTCTCTCTTGGAGTGAGGTGAGAGTTGTTAATGGTGGAGATCTAACAAATGAGAAGAGTGAGCTAGGGGAACAGTAAGGAGGTTGGAACAATGCTATGGATTTGCAAGTGGCCTGTTTTGTCAATATCCAGTGCTCACCTGAGATAGGTGGTCACCAACATGGTAGTTAATTTTGTTCCCACAAGGCCTTGCTGCTTAGGTCAGATGCCTTGTAAGTAGCTTAACCAAGAGTAAGATCTTTCCCAAGGGAATCTGATTGAGGTCAAGGGGTTAGGATGCTTATCGTGAAGTAGTAAAAGTACTGGTCCATGCACTATTCCATTTATTTATTTATTTATTTATTTATTTATTTATTTATTTATTTATTTATTTAGAAGCTAGGATATAAAGGAAGAATGGATAGAAACAGAGTCTGGATGTCTGGGTAAGGTGAAAAAAGGGATAAAGGAAATGATCTGGGGTAAATAAGCTCAAGAGGTGGAAGATGATGACCTGAGAGATATCGTAATGGTGGTGACCAACTCTTCTCTCATTAGACATAGGGCTGAAGTGTACCTCAGCAGTAGAGTATTTGTCCAGTCCATGGGAAACCCTGCATTGGGTATCAAATCATAATTTGAATCTTATAACTGATAGCAATATACAGTCAGTGCCTTATATCATGTTATAGGTTGATTGTCTCTCATTTTATGCTTGGGACTAGCAGTGTTTAATTTGGGATATTTGCATATATGCATACAATGAGATATCTTGGGAATGGAAATGAAGGATAAACACAGACTTCATTTGTTTCACAAACAACTGAGACAGGAGGATTTCATACAACATTTTTTAATGCATCTGTTCCTTCACTATGACATGCCACAAAGTGAGTGTAGATTCCGGCTATGACACTGTGTCTGCACTCTAAGTTTGGGACTCTGGACTTTTGAGATTATAGGTATTTAGCCTTTACAGGGAAGCACTACAGCTTATTAGGAAAATCTATACAAGTATTTTTACATTAAGTATGAAGGATATACTAGTCATAATTTTTCATATAAATTTTATGCATCAAATTAAAGTAAAAAAGTGTTCATTCCTTCATTGCACAATTAAGTGGAAAATACTCAGTGAATTCTACTAACAGTGTTTTAAAGATGAAAAAGAATTCTCTAAGAGTGGATACAAAAGAAATTAACTTAAAGGCAAATACTTTGCTGTTACATGCTTTAAAATAAGCAAATACCAAGTTAAAAAAAAAAAAGTTTTATTCTACCTCTGCCACTTAAAACTGTGTAGAGGAGATTAAGTGTGACCATTGGTAATATTCAGTGACAAATTAGTGGTATCAAGAACATTTCCAACTCATTTAAAAGCAGTCAAGCTTTATTTAAGGCATAATTAAGTTTGTTTTCTCCTTGAAGATACTTAGGCATCCACCTGGCTCATACAATTCCATTTTCTCCCACTGGAAGCTGTGCTGGATCCATTCCCATCTTCTTCATGGAGACTGCAATGTCAAACAGGTAGTCATAACACTCACACCTGCAGAAAAGAAGGCAGAAAGGACTGAACGTGTGTCAGGTGAAAGCTCTCCAGTCCTCACCGCCATGTCTCCCAACATTAGCTTTGCTTTGTTGCTACATCTACTATTGAGTTCATACCAAAAGTTTCCAACTTTGACCCCAACAGTTTTCAAACATTCAAAAGAATCACATTGAATGGTGTAACTACATCATTTACTTTTCAGGAGACATACTACTCACATGAAGTTATATTTTTTTTTATTGTGTGCTATATTTTTTTAAATAAAATTTTATATTATTTAAGATCTGTGGCTCTCTTTCTCTGTAGCAAACGTCACAGAGTCCTCCTAAATCAGAGCTGACCTAATCAATACGTCCTGATGATCCAACAAGGTAAAAATCACGTCTCTATAAATAACAATGACAGATTTCTTAAGTTGAAACCAGTTGACCAACAAGCACGTGGAAAACTCATATTTAATTCTAAATCCTAAATTGTGTTGAGTTCACTTCCACATTCTAAGTGTGATTTGTACCAAATATTCTCAAATTCAGTCTTACATGGTTTTTGCTTTCTCCCATGTCTCTCCCCACACGTACACCCCGTGACGCCTGACGAGCACTGCACAGGAGTCTGGGTATTCATTCATTGCATGAGCCATTCGTTCCTTGAGGTCCTTCTCTTCAGGAGTGTTCTCAATAATGGGTACCACTAACATGTCATCATACCTATAAACAGAACAAGATACTTACTCCCACCAAAACATCAATATTTTATTTGAAATTTTTCCTGTTAGTAACTAGTCAAATACTCATTATAGCTAAACAGCACTCAGTGTCTCCAACTTCAAAACAAGATATTACAACTCACTTTGTACATCTTGTATAAAAAGACATGGTCCATACAAAAAGATACCATTGGGATTTGGTAAGCAGCCTTGAGTTTAAATGGCAGAAATCTATACAGTGTAACAGAACCTAACAAAGAAATCAAGATCATACAAGCATTTCCTTGAAGCAAGAATAATCAGAACATTTTAAACATGAGATGAAACACAGAGCCATATATTACATAGTGGGACTATTCCCTGATATAAAAATCATTTATTTCATCTTGGCAGAATACCAAAATGTCTTCATAGGCAAACCAATCAATGTAGGTTTGTTTTGTGGCAATGGGATAGAAAGAATCATCTAGCAACAATTACCAAGGTTATGATAAAAACATGCTGCATTAGAATTTTTGTTTCCACATTTTTTTTCTCAGTAAATTCATGAAATAAAGTCAGAACATAATAATGTTCAAGCAAGTGACTTCCCTACAAGTAAAACTAGGTCCATTCTTTAATTTGCTTATTTATTTTTTATTCATTTTACATACCAACCACAGTTCTCCCTCCCCTCTTCTTCCACCCACCCCTATGCACTCCTCAGAAAGAGTAAGGCCTACCATAGGGAGTCAACAAAGCCTGGCACAGTCAGGTGAGGCAGGAAGCCCCCACCCCCACCTTTCACCGGATCAAGGCTGAACAAGCCATCCCACCATATGCAATGGGCTTCAAAATGCCAGCTCATACACTAAGTCCATTCTTTATGTCACTTGTAACCAATGACAACTCAAACAAGTGTTCCATTATACATGGTTTCTTCTCACACTGCCTTTTTACCAAAGCAGTGAATACACTTAACAACAAAAATGCTCAGTGTTATCAGAAGTGACCTCTTTCAGACAGGCATAGACTAAGCAGCTGTCATGTGCCTACTAATTTGGGCAACCATTATCGTAGTAGTATAGACTTGCCCGTGCCTCCACTGTAGTTGAGATAGAAGTAATTATATAATACCATAGTGTAAAGGAGTGAATTGCTGTTCTCACATTTTTCCTGAAGCTAGCCAGAGGAGTGACAGGCATATTTTCCTAAGCATTCACCACACAGTCAGAAATATTTCCAGGTGCAAAATAATTTCAAAGCACAGTGAAACCAGAAAACAATTTCAAACAATCCCTCATTTCACCAACAGGATACTGATTCTGACAAGTTAAATCGAAACAGAGCCATGGAAGTCCTTTGCACTCTACCATCTTCCAAATGACTGTCAGTATCATTTGTACTCTAGTATCCTCTGAATGACTGTCAGTATCCTTTGCACTCTAGCATCTTCTGAATGACTGTCAGTATCATTTTTACTATAACAGAGGCACGTGGCTTCCAAAATGAACAGCAGATACAGTAATGCATGCTCACCTCACCTGGAAACAAAGGGTGTTTAACAATGACTTTATTTTGCTTAGCTCTGTTGCTGAGGACTGAACCCAGGGCCTGGTGAGTGCTCAGCACATGCTCCCATGCTTTAACTTTTATCTTTTCTACATCATTTTCATAGTGCCGAGGAAGGCTTTAGGCACACAATAAACAGATAAGGAAATCAAATGAGATGAATTTTCAGCACACCGGTTTAAACACATTCAGCCTGTTTCCTGCAGTCATAGTAAGACACTGCTGTGGTATCTTTAGTAACATGGAGCACTTCCCAATGAAGGGAAGGGAGAACCAGGCTCCAGAAATTAGGAAGGGCAAAGGTTAAGAAAAATGCTACCAACTAAACGCAAGGCTCAGCTTGTACCTGGACACTGGGAACCTGTTTTATCAAGCCATTCAAGTATAGATTTATGAATAATGGTTATATGTTTTGCAGGCTGGCTAGATTTAGTTAGGTCATTGTTCTATACTTTTATGCCACCCACATCACAAATTCTGAAATAGAGTCATTTATCTAATTAAAATGAATAGATTTTTTTCATAATCAGCATATTCTAGAAACACATTAAATCAATAAACTTCACTGGTAGTCCCAGTTCAACTTTTCTGAAGACAAAGTGGTGAGGAAATCTTTCTTTCTTAGTGCTAAAAAGGGGCTGCCCTCATTCATCTTGATAGAAATTCCAGCCAAGACTTCTGTTCATGTTGATGAAGCAAACATTCCATTATTCATGTTGCTAATAATTCACCATGGCAGGGGAACAGAGGAGGAGTCTGTGTAGCTGAGAACACATCTCAAAGCATATTGTTAAGTGGGGTATTACTAAACACAGATCCCACTGCATCTCATTATATGCATAACAAGATCATGGCCCAACTTACCAAAGAGAAGGAAGAATGCATGCCAAATAATTTAATAATGAAATTATACCTGTAATACCCTCCTGAGGTACATTTCTTTATTCCTTTGATCATCTCTTGATGTGTAATTTTAAACTCCTGTCCTGGGAACAGAAGGGTGGCCATGACAGCAGCCTTAGAGTGGGTATGAATCACGGCGCCTGCTCCTGTGGGATGAAGAGTCGGTTGCTCAGTGAAGAGAACTTAGACTTAAAGACAAAATCAACACCAGTACCTATGCATTTTATGTATGTATATGTTTCATTATACATACATAACGTATGTATAGGAAAAACTGGTAGTGGTTACGATGCTGTCCTAGTTGGATTCTGTTGCTGAGATAAAATGTTGATCAGAGCCAACCTGGGAAAGGAAAGGGTTTATGTGGCTTATATGTCCTGGATCACAGTCTACCACTGAAGGAAGTCAGGGCAGGAATTCAAGACAGGAACCTGGAGGTTGGAGTGAAGCAGAGGCCATGGAAGAATGCTCTTGACTGCCTGGCTCTCATGGCTTGCTTAGCCTACTTACTACAATCTAGGACCAGCCACTGTGGCACTATCCACAGTGGGCTGCACCCTCGCGCATCAGTCACTAATCAAGAAAATGTCTCCACAGACCTGCCTACAGGCCAGTCTGATGGAGGTAATTCCTCAGCTGCAGTTCCTCTTTCCAGGAAACCTCAGCTTGTGTCCAGTTGATGGGAACTAACTGTTGGGAAAGAGGACCTTCTTCAGAGGCTGATAAGAGAATGGAATGAGGGGAAACTAAATGCTTGTGCAAGTTAGATACTCGAGAGCTGTTAAGTAAAGTCATTATGACTATTATTTAGTGAGGCCAATGCTCAAGTGTTCTTTAGACCAATTACCTCTCATGGTGTAAGCATTCATGAAAAGAGGAGTACACTGGCTCTTTTTGAGCTTTTTAGATGCTGGAGGCCCACTTATGTCCTGTTCATTGATGTCACAAACAAACATATCTTCTGGCTATTTATAGAGAGAGAAAAAGAAAAGAAGGCCTTAAAAAAATAACAATTAAAATGTCTCTATTTGGTGTACTTATACAGTATAACATGTTTAACATTCAACTTCATGTTTTGAGTCCCCAAACTTTTAGTACCGAGAATTTTTTTTTTTTTTAAGTTTTATACTATGATTACAGTGATGGCTCATTGGTTAAGAGGACTGACAGTTCTTCCAAAGGACCTGGGTCTATTACCCAGCACTCACATGGTGACTCTCAACCATAGAACTCCAGTTCCAGGGGTCATTACGCCCTCTTCTGGCCTCCATGGGAACTGCATGCATACAGTATACTGATAGACATGTAGGCAAAACACTGATATACACAAACTTTAATAAAATAAAAAAGATAAAGTTTTATATCAAAAACTTGAGAGTTAAAAAGTTACTTTATTTTAAAATCTGAAGGATAAAATCAGATGTAGAAACAACTATGTAATGATGCTGCTGACAGTTCATAGACTTAGGCCTGCCATTTCACAACTACATTTCTGGGAAACATATAAAGAAATCAGCACGCCCAGATGTATGTTAAAACTTTCTTATCCCCCGAGAAACATAGTAATGATGTTATTCTCCGAGTTTTCAGGTGAGTTGACCTAGCTTTTTCTCAGTGATGCCTGCATAGTCCTAATTTGCAACTTCCAAACATCAGGGCCTCCCAAAGACTACAATATAAACTTTCACTAAGAGAGCCACTTTTCTTTTTTCCTGCCATTGGTCAAAGTTTTATGCATTTATTTAGATGTGGGGTGTTATTTGAGCATTGATATACAATGCCACTTCTCCAAATTTTGAAACAAAATCCCTCCACTTTAAATTGGAACAGCTTTGCGATTGGAAATATGGATCGGTTTGTGTGACCCGAAGCTAGCAGTAGGGCCAGCTCACTAGTCTGATAACGGTGGGATGAGGCTGTGCTATTCACTGCTGCCTGCTACAGTTTTCTCAATGAGACTTTGAAGATTTATGTTTATGTTTTGCATGCATGCATGTACACCAAGTGTATATCTGATAATCTCAGAGGTCTGAAGAGGGGCTTTAGATCCCTTGCAACTGGAGTTAAAGACAGCTGTGAGCCACTGTGTGCATGAGAACGGAGAACCAAACCCAGGTCCCCTGAAAAGCAGTGAGTGCTCTAACAGTGAGCCCTCTCTGCAGCCCTGACTGGAGTTTAAAACCCATGCTGGATACACGGAAGATACCACCTTAAAAACCATTTCATAATTACTCAACAAATATTTAACAGTTACTTAGCAAATGTTTATTGATTAGTTATTTAAATTATTGCAACAGAACCACCCTTCAAGACTAACATAACCTTTTAGAAGCAATTCTACTTCATGGTACAGCAGTTACGAACAGAGGACAGGGCATATGAAGGATCCTTTAGCATACCTGAATGCGTTCCTTTTGCACGCCTGAGGGAGCAATGTAGATTTCATTGCTGGTAACACAAAATATAGAAATTGGTTTTTGTTTAGCTAAATTTCTGGTTTTGAACAAATAAAGTGTATCCTTGTGGTGTAACTATTAATGTCCTTTATAGACCAAGCCCAAACGGCTGCTTGATTGAATGAAGGAGTCAGAGTGCACAGAATGAAAGTTCTAAGCTACTTTGAAACACTAGTGGCTTAAGAAAACTCGAGGTAGTTGCTTTTGTCTTTCCTACTTTCACATATATGTATTTCTTTTCATGGGGTAAAAAAAGAAAAAAAAATTAGTGGTTGCCAAATTACTATCTAGAGGAAAGGTAAATTTGAACACATTAATTATTCAGTACTTTTGAAATGAATGAACAGAATTTCAGTACCCTATGTAAAATACAGTTGCTAGTTAATCTAAAATCATGCAAAATGTATGGGTGATTGAGAACATTTTTGCACTGTAAACAATGAGGTTCTAATTTATTGCATGAAGTCATGAAGCACAGAGCCCTCTGGTGGACAGTTTGCTAAATTACAGCATGAACAGTGGGTTCCTCTATGACATGCAAATCTTGGAAATTATTTGGCAATAAAGCAATCACAAAAGAAATGAAAGTAGGATATTGAGTGTGGTTGCATATGCCTATAATCATAGCACTTAGGAGGCCGAGCAGAGAAGATCGTGAGTTCAAGACCAGTGTGGGAAATGCAGTGGGTAAATATCTGAAGCAAAATAACACACACACACACACACACACACACACACACACACACACACACAGAGAGAGAGAGAGAGAGAGAGAGAGAGAGACAGACAGATAGACAGACACAGAGAGAGAGGTGCTTTTTGTATGAGTGTCAGCTGAGACTTATATGCCCTGTACCATTTCCCACAAGGCCCTCTACAGTGCTGTCAAATCGTCCCCATTCTCTCCATACATAGATTGGTCCTTTTTCTCACTTCCCAGTTTCAGTTGCTAGAGCACATTAATGAGCTACCACAAAAACGGAAACCCGGAACATGAGCACCTGGGACTAAAGCTTTAGCCATGGAGACAGATATGCACAGTAGACAAATATCAGTGGCTTCAAAGTGACAACAAAGTTGGCCTACATGAAGCTGTCAAGGAGATTACTACAGAACAAACAGACTTGGGACTGACAAGTATGTCAGTGAAATGAGAGTTTCTTGGAAAACTCTACAGGTCTAGATAAACGCCTGGTAGGTGAGCAGAATCCAGGAAGCAGTGGACTCATATGTAACTAGGTTTCCTGAAGCCACTTCACTGCTCATTCTCAGATGCATGGGGCAACAGTGTGGCAACCCTTCCTCCAGGTCCGGAAGTCCCAGAGATCTACTTGACAGCTTTGTGATAAGAGATGGTGTTCTAGCTAAATCTATTTGTATTGTTGTCTTTGTAAGTCGGAGCTAATTTACACTTTGATTAACTTTCTTTGAGCAATTCAAAGATAACCTAAGTAAGTTTTTGACATAGCAATACCAACACAGAAAGAGAAATATGGGAAGAATACAAAATGACAGCTTTTGTTTTAGGAGATAACACTAAAAGACTGAAGGAAAATGTTTGCTTGGTTCTGTAAGCCACAAATAAAAAGAACTTGGAAGTTCCAGGGAATGAGTTCTAGAATTTCTCTATACTCCTGCTTTTTCACTCTATGGTAAATAAAAGGGCAGAAAAACAAGAGTTTATACTGCATCTGTGTTCAGGTATGTCTACTTTTACTTATGCTCTGGTCATTAAAGACCACTGAGATATGTCTCAATAGCTCATCTACAAAATGTGCTCATCAAATATGACTCCTAACAGTATGTAGCATGCAACAAGCTTAGTGTGGCTGCCACATACTGATGAAAATAGGAATTAGTAAATCTAAACATCACAGACCAAGCCTAAAGGCAATAGCTGCTGAGTGTCATTGAATGACTTTGGTGACTCTATGTGTGTCCTCACTTTCAATGTCTATGTGTGTCCTCAATATCACATACATATGTGTTTATGTGTATGAGTGTGTACATATGTGTATATATGTGTACACACACACACAAATGCACGCACACACACACACACACACACACACACACACACACACACACCCTGGTATCATACACTAGTCATGTAAGCTGGAGTGGTGTTATCCAAACCTTGAAATCTGTCAGTACTTCTATACCCCAAAGACTTCATTGTGTGTATGATTCTAGGACATTACCTATATATTTATATGTCATTTCAAATTTATTTGCACCAAAAGTCAGACACAGAAGACAAAATTATTACCAGAAACATGAAGATGAGTAATAGGGGTTCATAAATTCATTTAAATATTAGAGGTAAAATTCAACATTTTACTAAAAATACCCATTTTAGTCTGTAAAGCACAAACTCCAAGCCAAACAATGCCTTAAAACCCTGCTCCTTCCCTCTGTGGCCTCTAGGGGGAGCTCCTTGCCCATTAAAAATAAGGAAAAAACTACATATGATGCAACTTTCCTATAAATTGATTGTAGTGCTATAAAAGCCATTGCGTATTAAGAGATGTGCCTATAAATGGTTTATGTTGGCCACACACAATCAGTATGTAGACTAGTACAGTTCTTCTAGAAAGAAAAGTCCTTTACAATTTCTTTCTTGCTTTAAAAAAATTCTTTTTTGGGTTTTCATTCTACTCTTTTTAACATATATCCAGAAATGACTATTTTAGCTTAGTTTGGTAGGAGCTCTATTATGTACAAAAATCACTCTCTGCACATAAAAATAAATATAAGTTAACGCTTTTAGAACATGATTTATTATAAACCATCATCAGGGAAATTAAATTATAGACACTCAACTTTTAAATAGAAAAGTAAAACAGGAACAAATAATTAATAATTTGGATATGTTGTGAATAAGACAATTAGAAAATTTAGGCAAAACACCCTGGATGTTTAGGCACAATCCTGAACTGACACATTAGAGCTGGAGTGACTGATGGAGAGGGGGCAGACGGATGTACAGACCCATCAGGGACCACTGTATCTGTACTCAGAGAATCCTTACATTCACAACTGTACAGGTTGTTGACTAAGATACCTTTGTACTTCCCACTACTGAATTAATATTTCATGAATTACATTGTAATTTGAAGCAGATGAAATTACAAAATCATCATCTTGTAGGATATGTAATAAAATTCCTTTTGTTTAAAATGTTCTGATTTTATTTTACAATCCATTTACTATTATGAAAAGCAGACTCCTTGGGATCGATCTGTCTATCTATCTATCTATCTATCTATCTATCTATCTATCTATGTGAGTGTGTTATATGTATATATGTACATACAGTTATACATGTATATGTACATACATATACACATACATATCAGGTACATATACATACTCAACATATAAATGTCTTAATAACCTAATTTTGCTAAAGAAAATGGTAACCTGGAATACAGAAACAAAGCACCATCACTCAGTTTAACACTCTGCCTCCAGACAACAATATTCATATATTTCAGGAGGGAAACATTAATCCTACTTCAGAAAGCCTCGGGAGGATGAATGAGGTGTCACCTTGAGAGTCATTGCCAGTGCTGTTATTCCTCATCTGCTCAAAGACAAGACAGTCCCTGAATCCAATGAGCAATAGAAAATGATTCCTTCTTTCTGCTTTAAACCTCCTCAACGGAGTAAATATCAGCAGTTGCTATGCCCATTAATCGTGATATCTCTGCTGAAAATAGCACATGGCCTGTTTCTGAACTCAGTAAACATGGAGTCTTGAATTTTTAATGACTGATAATCTGTATTTAATATGTCTCTGAACTTTCGAAGTACATCTTCGACTATCTAGAGAAGATCCTGTAATAGTTCTGGTACATGAACTTACTTGCTGGACTGTTACCCACCTTCATTATTCCAAAGAGAGAAAACCAAATTATCCCAATTAGCAACTGGGATCCAAAAGCCTTCAGTGTTCATTGTGCCTGTTGCTTCTGCTCCCGGGTTCCGATGGGTTATGCAAACACCCATCAATCATTTAGAAAGTAAAAAGCTTCAGTATCACAGTACACTGACTATCAGCTGGGTTTGGACACACCAACCATGGCTTGCTGAAATGGGCAACTCCAGAACTGAAATCAACTGGACACTTACCCATGCTTCAAGCTAATTCCTCCTCCGGTGCCAGTGACCCAGCCCAGGTGGTAAAACTGTTTGCAAAGTTCTGGGATCAGGAATCTGGGATGTTCCTTGTCCTTAAACAGAAGACAATGCTTTTTTAATCAGACTCTTTTTAAATGGTGTATTCCAGCTGGCATTTCTAACAAGGAACCAAAGGACATTCAAGGAAATGTACCTAAGAAAAGAGGTAGTTAAGGAAACAAACACAGCCTGCTCCTAATATTTAGAAATGGATTTACTTATTTGGCAACCTGGGATTGGTCAGTATAGGGGCCTATAATCTATGGAACAGGCTGTGAGAACAAGGCAGAGAAATACCAGGGGTCTATGACACAGTGTCGGCAGAAAGACAGCGGAACCTAGTGCTAAAAGAAACATGGATACACAGGATCCATCTGGATACACAGGAAAGTTACAAAACACCCACGAGAACACCATACATTAGACATTAGAGTTTTCCTGCCCAACATAGTCTGTGTTGGCTCAGCTTCATTTTTATCTTAAAAATGTTGCTTCCCAAAGTGATTTTAATATCTTCTCTTATTACAATTACAATAAACACTCACTATGAAAACTAAATCAAGAGAATAGCAATAAGCAAATCCTACTCAAAAGCAACCATGATTCTTTTCTAAGAAGGCATATTGTTTAAAGGAGTATATAAATAAAGGTTAAGTTACCACCAAGCTTTCTGTATATCTGTAACTCCAATAATTAACCTCTTTGGAAAAACTATGTTGGCCGGGGGGTGGTTGTGGCACACACCTTTAATACCAGCACTTGGGAGGCAGAGGCAGACAGATCTCTGTGAGTTTGAGGGCAGCCCAGTCTACAGAGAGTTCCAGGATAGCCAGGGCTGTTACACAGAGACACCCTGCCTTGAAAAACAAAATAACAATAACAAAACGATGTCATTTGTTTCCCCCTGCTTTTTTCCTAGTAGTTTAAATGAATGAACACTGCTATTAAGTCATTTTTATAAATATTTCAAAATAAATTGCTGGCGTGGAAAGACATCACAGGAGTGATAAACTAAAAGAGAATGGTGTCAGTGCCCATAAAGATGGCTGCACTCCATCTTAGCACAAGGACAGAGTGTTCAAAGCTGTCATAAGACTTAAAGGTCAAAGGTGTGGCTACAGAAGGATGTTTGGCTGTCTTATTCTAAATAACAGACCTGAATCTGATGTGTGGCTGGCTACTCCTGACCCTTAAGGCTAGGGAATGAGAAGTTGAATCTGAGGTGTGACTACTCTTGACCCTCAAGGCTAGGGAACAAGAAGTTGAAGCTAAGGTGTACTAACTGAACCCTTAGAATCAGTGAGGAAGAAAAATCTGTTCCATATACATGCTACATACATGCTACTGTGTTTCTCTTTTGTGGTAAGGTATATAAGAGTGGTGAAAAATAAACTTGTGGCATTTCAGTAGTGACTGATCTGCCCTCCTGTCTTTTATTCTGTCTTTTCTTTATCGTCTATAGCTAGCGATCCACACTCCCCCACTCAAGTATTAACTTCTTTCCCTCATCCACACTCCCCCACTCAGGTACGGACCCTGGGCCGCTCAGCTGGTTTCGACTGCAGCCCCACAAAGACAGCTTCCGATAAATGGGACATTTTGGTATCAGGGAAGCCTAAAGCCAGCATTCTCTTCAAGGCGTCTGAAAAGAAATCTGGTGACTCCAAGCTTCTACTGTAATAACTGGACAAGAATTAGAAATCTGTGTGGTGCAGACTTGCACCACACAGAAAATGCCCATATAAACCCAAGACTCGGTGGGCTGCATTCTCAGGCAAAAGGCAAACAGGAATTCCTTGCTATAGAGGAAAGCACAGAAAATTACTGAGCTACTTACTGACCTTAGCCCTCAGTAAAGGGGTAAAATCATTCTCAAGGACAGAGAAAAATCATTTCAAAAGACTGGATCCTCAAGTAGCTAAAATAGTGCTTTCCCAAATTTGCTTCTCATTCTTCCCCTTTCTCCATGTCTCAGTGTTCATATATAGATATAGATAGATAGATAGATAGATAGATATAATTTTAGGTATTATGAATGACTGTTGATGAAGTAGCCTTCAAAATATAAAACTGAGAGCATGGGAGAAAGCCAGGCATTTTGTAAAGCTCAGCTCAACACAGATTTAAGAGTTAGCAGAACTTACAAACTATATTATAACTAATTCATTGTTTACACATTGCTGAGTGTGCCAGTTAGTTTTTATGTCAACTTGACACAGGCTAGAAGAAGGAACCTCAACTGAGAAAATGTCCCAGCCACATTGGTCTGCAGGCAAGACTGTGGCACATTTTCTTATTGAAGTGGGTCCAGCTCACTGTGGGCGGGGCTGCCCCTGGACCCGTGGTTCTGGGTTACATAAAGAATGAGGAGCAAACCAGGAAGCAGCACCCCTTCAGTCTCTGCTTTAGCTCCTGCCTCCAGGTTCCTGCCTGCTATTGCTGCCCCGACTTCTCCGAATGGTCGACAACAAGTTGTAAGGTGAAATAAAACTCTTTCCTCCTCATGCTGCTTGTTTTCAGTCTTTTATCATGGCAACAGAAACCTTAACTAAGGCACTGAGCCTTTCTTTTACTCAGCCATTAAACGAGAACACTTTGAGGAATAAAATGAGATAAAATGAAGGTAAAACACATAGCACAAAGCTGAAGAGACAGATGGCTCGGCCGTTAAGCACATGTATTGTTCTTGCAGAAGAGCAGAGTTCAGTTCCCAGCACCCACATCAAGTGGCTCACATTACCTCTAACAGCTACAGAAGATACTGAAGCTTCTGGCCTTCTCAGGGACCTGCATGTACACCTACCTATCTACACACACACACACACACACACACACACACACACACACACACACACACACTCACTTTAACAAAACCTGGGGCTAGAGGGATGGTTTAAGAGGTTAAGGCCTATTCCTCTTGCAGACGGCTGGAGTTCAGTCCCTTGCACCCATGTCAGATGACAGCTCACAATCACTTGTTTCTCCATGTCCAAAGGACCCAGCACCCTTTGCTGGAGCCCTTGGGCACCTGTACTCATGTGCACATACCACACTAGAGCTACACACATATAACATATTTAAGCATAAAATTTAAAATACTTGGTGCCGAACAGTGTGGCACAATACTCACTCCCATTTTACAGAGGTAAAGTTCTTGAACACTAATTACTTAGGTTAATAATAAAACAGATTTCTTAACTTTTCTCAAGGAAACTAGCCAAAAATTTTTATATCCCATATAATTTGCTATTTCTTTTTTGGGGGTTGGGGGGGAAGCATAAATGACATTTTAATTACATATTAAATACAGCTAATGGGAAGACTCCTGCAGTGTTCCAATCATTAAGACCAAATTTGCACAACAAATTGCAAGCATTACAGAAAATGGTCTGTTATTATAGATTCCCCCTTCCCTTTTGTCTTTGCCCAGTACTGAAGTATTAGAGCAATTAGCCAGCTTCCTGCTACAGCGTGTATCAATGACAGGGCTGCTCAGTTACTGCATCTCCCTCAGTCATTCAGAGCAGCAAGATACAATTACAGGGAAGTAATGGAGCCCTCGCAGAGACACATTTGCTGAAGGTGCAGTCACTTAACCTGTGCAGCCCAAGAGTGTGAGAATAGAAATACTATCTTCGGAACTGGCAAGAAGGGATGGCTTAGCTGCTCTCCCAGATGCCAAAAGTACTTGTCAGAGCTGCCTTTCAGAGAGCATAACTATATGACACGAAGCTAAAGACCCACCATGATGAAGTATTTACAGAAGTGCAGCTCTGGTGCGGCAGACACAAACTCGGTGCCATTCTGAATATATTATAGACATTAAAGTGTAGGAAGCTTCCATTCCACTTGGAAGAAATTTCAGCCTTGACTATCACAAAAATAACTACTTATGCCTAACAGGGGCTCCATTTATTTCCTTCCTTTGTTTTTCTTTCACTTAAAACACCAGCATGTACCTGGACCCAGGATTTCCTGGGAGGCTCTGAACCAAACATAAACAGTCAGGTGAGGGGTGACATTTGATAGTAAAGCATATGTTTCTTAGCATAAGCAAGGGTCCAGATGTGACCCAAGGATGCTTTCTGGGTGTTGGTTTTCTTATATGGATCAGTGATTCCTAGACTTCTGAATTTCAGCACTGGCTTTCTTTCTTTAATAGTTGGGGGAGGGGCACGAGTGTGGAGATCAAAGCAGCAGTTCATGGGGTCAGCTCTCTCCTTCTACCTCTATGTGGAGAATAAACGCATGTCAACCGGCTTATGAAGCAATTGCTTTACCCACTGACTCAGCTCACAGGCCCATGGGTAGTTTTATTGATATTAAGGAACAACATGTGGTTGCCAAGTAATGACACTCTGTAAAAGTAGCCAGTGCTTTGAGCCACTCACTGAGTCGTCTCCCTGACTATTTTTGAGACAGGGTCTCTCTTTCTGAGTCTGCAGGCTAGCTACAGTTTCAGCTAGCCTAACTGGCCAGCAGGTCCTGAGATTCTCTCATCTTCATCCATCCCAGGGCTAGCATTACAGGAATGTGACACCACATGCAACTTCTACGTGGATGCTGAGGATCCAAATTAGGCAGGCATGCTGCAGTGTCTACCGAGCTCACTGAACTCTCTCTGCCACCCTCATATCCTGCTTTCAGATACCTGAATACAGTAGTGGAGAAAAGACACTGAAGGGTAGTGAACATGACAGCTGGACGAGACCAGTAAGAAGGCCAGTGAAATATTTCAGAAGTGAAACTGTAAGAGTGACAATGGCAATGGATTTGGAAGATTTAAGATCTTAAGAGTGAGAATGCTAATGGGCATGCACAGTAGGAAAATGACATCAGGGGCTGGAGAGATGGCTCAGCAGTTAAGAGCACACTGACTTATCTTCCAGAGGACCCGGGTTCAATTCCCAGCACCCATGTGGCAGCTGTCTGTAACTCCAAGATCTGACACCCTCACACAGACATACCTGCAGGTAAAGCATCAATGCACATAAAATAAAAATAATTAAAAAAAGAAAAGCGACATCATCTAATTTATCAAACATATGAGCCAATCTCCCCTTGAACCTTGCTAATCAAGGTCCTGGAGTATCTTCATGCATATGAACATCACTCCAGGGTAGTGTGTTCTGATCTTTCCTATTGCTTTGCTTTAGCATTTCCTTGCTAGTTTTGCAAATCAGTGTGGACTTCTATTTCAATTGCTTGAAGAAGTGAAGAACCCGGAAGTATCTGATCCTGACCTTTAGCACCAGGAACAGCATATGAAGGTAAACAGTAGTCACTGTGGGGAGGGAGACACTAGAGACTAGGGGGAAACAGAAGTGCTGCCGGCAGTGTTGGGGACCCTTGGGAGGGTGGAGTAACCAGGATGAAGTGAGACTAAGCACAGCTGTAGCACATTCCCTAACAACATTCAGCTCCTCCTTGGGGGAAGCACAGCGGGCTTCTGGCTGAGGGCTGCACAAGGCCAAGGGTGTCTGTAAGTCAGCCTTCATCACCATAAGTAACATTTAAAGAATTGTTATCTTACCATGTGTGCTCTGGGGACAGAACTCAGGTTGTCAGGCTTGGCAGAAAGCACTTTCCCCCATTGAGCCCTCTCATTGGCCCCCCTAAGAAACAAATACTTTGAAGAATTGGATTTGTAAGCCAGGCCAAAGTGGGTTTCACTCATGTCATTTAGAAGTAAATGAAAACTGCAGGCGTAAAATCCTAAAGACTCATTCAGTAATGTTGTTATGGCAGGGAGTCCTAGGTAAGGAAACACTGAATAAGTCAATACAAACAATTTCCTATAATACGTAGTAGTAGTAATGGCTTTTCAGACACTGTAACAAACTACCTGAGGTAATTATCATGGGAAAAGGTTTATTCTGGCTCAGTTTTATAGGTTCCAGTCCATGATTAGCTGGGTCTGTTACTTTTAGGACTTTGATAGGGTACAGGGTATTCATGGTAATTCGCACACAGTGACACAAATGGCTCACCAAATGGCCAGGAGACAAAAGAGAAAGAAGGTACATAGGGTGTACCATGCCCTTTGGGGTCACATGCCCAATGACATAGGATCTTTCTCTAGTCCCCATCTTATACAGGTGCTTCGACCTCCAAATGGTGCACACCTAGGGAATAAGTCTTTACCATATAGGTGTCTGGGGACACTCAACATCCAAATGATAGCATATGCTAAAGAGGCAGAGTTAGAGGTCAAGAAGAGACTTAAGGCATAGGAGAACTATGGCCTAATAGATAGGTTCTCTTGTGGGGGAAAAGGAGATAAGGAGAACAGGAACATAATTGCCTTCAATCAGGGGAAGAATAAGGATGCAGGTAAATACATGATACTACCAACTATAGGAATTGCCAGCATTTATCGGGTGCTTGTTCTGTGACTGTTAGAACTGTATAGACTACTTTATCCTTATATTGACCCTATTACACTAAAAGATGACCTTGTCTAAGATCACCAGATGCCAATGGCAGAGCCAAGGTTTGAATCTGGGCAATATGGACATAGATACACACTCCTTTACTTTTAAATTGTACTTACTATAGATGGAAAAAAGAAGAGGTCAAGATGTTTCTATCTAACAGCTTTTCCTGTCATTGCAATTTCAGGGCAACAGGCTTGGGCATGAGATGAAGAGAGATAGTAAGGTTTTGGAATAGCCACCTAAAACAGCATGGAAGGTAGCTCCCCAGAGGGGCAGCACACAGGGCAGGACACTATGATATATGTAGACTCACCGATTCATAGGGCTGACCTATCCTTCCCTCTTATGAGTTCTCAGCAGCTTGGGGAAGAAAAACTCAAGAAAAGGCACTAGTTGCCATACAGTATAAAGGGTACTCTGATGAGGATGCATAGGGGCAAAAATAGGTACGAGAAAGAAAAGTATGTGCAATGAGCAGATAGGGATTGGTCAGGGCAGATATGGCTGGGAGTTGGGGGAGCTGAGTGAAGAGAGGTGAAGGTTGGCAGAATGCTGGGAACAAGGAAAACAGGAGGCAGGAATTTTGATGGCCTTTGGTTGTGGTATTAGTACAGAAAGAACCAGGGTCACTGTCCACCTGAAGCTGCCTCTGCCTCCACCTCATAGCTGCCTGCAGGCACCTACAGTGAAGCCATCATTCTCATGGCCATAGGGAAATGACAAGCACTCTGCTGTGACTGTGAAGTTATAAACGGCCAAATGTTTCCCCTGTCCTCAGTCCAGGGAATCAGAGGCAAACTTACAGCAAATGCCTACTACTCACATGGGTCTTCTCTCTGTTTTTCAGAACCCCCAAAGAGGGGGAATCCTGCTGTATCTCTTGGGACAGACCTCTATTCTAACCAAGAGATAAAGTAGTTAGGTGTTTGTGCTGGCTAGTTTGATGTCAACTTGGCACAAGCTATAGTCATCTGAAAGGAGAGAACCTCCAGTGAGAAAATGCCTCCATAAGATCAGGCTGTAGGCAAGCCTGTAGGGCATTTTCTTAGCGATTGATGGGGGGGGGTGCTCAGCCCATTATGAATGGTGCCATCCTTGAACTGATGGTCCTGTGTTCTATAAGAAAGCAGGCTAAGCAAGCAACAAGGGGCAAGCCAATAAGTAGCATCTCTTTGTGGCCTCTGCATTAGCTCCTGCCTCTGGGTTCCTGCCCTGTTAAGAGTTCCTGTCCTGCCTTCCTCTAATAATGAACCATGATATGAAGTGTAAGCCAAATAAACACTTTCCTTCCCAAGTTGCTTTGGTTATGGTGTTTCATCACAGTGATAATGACCCTAACTAGGACATGGGCCCAATCAGACTCACAAGTAGTTTATTTGATCTGTACAATACTTAGAGCCCAAGCCAACATTTATAGTCAAAAAGGTTTCACACAAAATGTGACTTCCTAGTTTCACTCAAAAAAAGCAGAATTTAACTTTGAGTTCATTACCCACTCACTGCAAGAAAAAGCTAGAGACATGTAATAGGATCTCCAGTCAAGGTGGGTTTCCTCAAAATCTGGATCATTCTAAAATGCTAGGTATTCATAAAGTTTTTCATGAATCACTATCTGAAACTACCTTCCTCTTCTTCTGTTTATGAAAAATACCTTCAGCTTCTTTTTTGTGTGTGGCTACTTTTTGTCTTGGTAAATTCATTCACACTTGCCAACCTGGCACAATATTTAGGATGAAAATAAAAATCTGTATGTCTATGATGACCTTCACAAAGATTTACTAATCGGCAGACTTAAACACGTCTGCTATCAAGACATCTTAGCAATGATTCTTACATATTGCTTTTACTTTCCTTATACACCTGCCTAGGGATGGCCACAAAGATTGTGTCCTATATGCAAGATCTCCCTCTCAATCTTGAGTAACTTCAAGGTTTCTTTATTTCCTGCCTTTCTCTCTCTCTCTCTCTCTCTCTCTCTCTCTCTCTCTCTCTCTCTCTCTCTCTCTCTCTCCTTCCTCCCTCTCTCTCTCCCTCCCTCCCTCCCTCCCTCCTTTCCTCCCTTCCTTCTTTTTTTTTCGAGACAGGGTTTCTCTATAGCTTTGGAGCCTGTCCTAGAGCAAGCTCTGTAGACCAGGCTGGCCTTGAACTCACAGAGACCCACCTGCCTCTGTCTCTGCCGCCTGCTGGGACTAAAGGCAAGCGCCACCACCGCCAAGCCAAGGTTTTCTTTATGAATTTGGGGATATCCAGTTATTCAAAGACAATAATGGTTCACAAATGGTCTGCACTAAAAATTTCCGTGTTTTATTTTTAATTGAGAACCTAGGCCTGAAGACAGGCTAATAAAAGAAGATAATTTCGTGCACTTCCCCTTAGTCTTCCGCAGGGCTTTAGTTCTCTTGTTAAGCACTGCCTTAGCACGGAGAAGGCATTTCATGAGTCTGTGGCGTGTTTAACTGGAAGAAAAACCCACGCACACCGAAGGCCCATTTGCTTTAAAGAAGAATCACTTCCATGATGTCCCTCCTCATAATGTCAAGTAAGGCAGGAAGGGACAGCTGCTCAAAAAAGGCTGCTGTCTTCCTGGCACCGGGACAGTTCAGGTTGAGCAGCCCCACCGGACTGGCGAGGATTAGGCAGGGGATCAGACTTCTAGAGAGCCCGACCGAAGTCCCACCCTGAGTGTCGTAAACCACTGTCCTTACCTGCGCGCCGCACGGCCGCGAGCAACAGTCTCCTTGAGCGTGACAGCCAGACATGGTTCAGACCAGCGCTCGGTTATCCGCCGCGCGCTATTTCCAGGCCAAAGCGCCGCCCAAGAACGCTATTACGTCGCGGAGCGGGCAGAGTTGGGGCGGGGCAAGAGCCAGAGGCGGGATCTGAGAGGGCCTCGCCCATTGGGAGAACCTGCGCCGGCGCAGACCAGCCAGTGGGCGTGCCCATGAAGGTTAGAGGCGGTGCTAGAAGGGCTGGTCCTCGAGTCCTAAGGTGCGGAGCGCGCCTTGTGGGCGGGGCTATTCCGTGCAAGGCGGGGCCTGGGCGGGCCTTGAGGTTGCCGGTCTATCCGTGCTGCGAGCAGTCCCGGAGAAGGCCGGGAAGATGGCGGCCTCCTGGAGGCTACGCTGTGACCTGCCGCTGCTACGATGCCTCCTGGGCTTTGGCAGCCGTCGAAGCTTGGGCCTGGCTCAGGGTGCTGCAGCGTGGCCTGTCGGCCGTGCAGCGAGCTGGAGGTGGTTTCATGGCACTCAGCTGCTGCAGGGTGAGTGGCTGTCGCTCGTTGAACTTTTCTGTTTAGCTGAGCAAGGGGCCTGGATCAGGGTGTTCTTGTTTGGGGACCCGCTTTTGTGAGTGTAAGGGCCAAGTCTCCCCGTTCCCTTCAACCTCCTGGAGGAACGGGTCTTCTGACTTAGCCTATGGCTTGTGGCAAAGGACCGTCTTCGGACTTGGGAGAGCTTGATTCGGTCCCTGGCCTCCAAGGCTATATGGCTTTTCTGTGACCTTGCTTTGGAATGTGAGTTATTTAGATATTACCGAGATGGGATCTGTTTTAAATCCCCTGTTTTAGACCCTTTTCAGTCACATGTCAGATTGCTTTAGTTTTATCATTCACCTCTAACGTATTAAAGATGACTATACACTGCTACCCATCCTTATTCATTCAAAGGGCCTGACCTTACTGGGAAACCTTAAATCTTAACTCCATTTAATGGCTCCTTTGAAACATACAAAACTTAATTTAGAAATACAGAATCACAGACATGACCAAAATGTTTTAAGTAAAACATGTAGCATGAGATTCATACAGTCTCTTACATTCATACAGTTGCTCTTAAGTAATGGTATTGGATTTGGAATTTAGTTATATTAAAGTACAATTTTTACTCATGGAGAAACTTGGAGATATACCTACTGCCCTTCCATTATTTAACATACAGTACATCAAATGGCAGGCCTTTCTTACATGCGTGAGTATGGGCTGGGGTTTAGAGCGACAAAGACGACATTTTTTGGAATCATTAGACATTTAAGTCATTATTCTTAGCACCCCCCTATTGCAGTAGGCAATGTTCACACTTTCTAAGCTGTCTGAGGCCCAGAAAACAAAGAAACAAAAACACATCTTATATAGCAAAGTGGGTGCTTTGGGGCTCCTAAAAGAGTGGGTAATGGGGACAATATGTAAGTCTCTTTTGAAATAATGTTTAATAAATGGCCCCTCAATAGTGGTCTTTAACAATCTAGTATATAATATTTTCTCTGCCGTGTTGTCATCTTCCTTTGTTAAGATTGAATTTTCCTACCCTTAGCAGAAACACTGACTCAGGTACTGTTTAGGAATTTGCTCCTTACACTTTGTAAGTTTTGATAGATCACATTTTTGAGACTCCCTGCCTTAAAACATGGAATGTTAAAAGTTTAGAATTGGGGGAAGTGCTTGTGAAGGGTCTTACCCTTGCTTGTGAGGTCTTTTTGGAAGTCTGAATGCCCTAACCCTGTGTAAAAAGAAAAGAGTATATGTGCTTGCACACAAAAGTGGGCAGTTTCCAAGATTTCCTTACAATTGCTTCTTCCTTTAGAAATTCCCATAGGCAGTTTCCATCTGATAAATCTTGACATTTTGTCTGTCCCTCACCCTCTACCTCCAGACAGACACCTTGAACAACTAGTCTCTAAGCATCATCTGTAAGGAAGATGGTACTGAATGAGTAGTTTCTTATCATTGCTGCCACTGTCAACTTGAAGTGCAAATTCATCTTTTTAAAGTTCTTAGAATCAGAAGCATAAAATGGATGTTACCAGGCTAATATCAAGTTGTCTAGCTTTGGAGATTGTCTTCTTTGGAGGTTCTAGTAGACAGTCTGTTTCCTTGTTTCCTGCCCCCCCCCCCAAGCTTCTTAGAGTCCTGGGCTTCGAATTCCTACCTACCTTCCAGCTCAGTAATGGCTAGTCTATCTCTCTTGCCACTTCCTCTCCTGCCTTCTTTCCATCAGGAGGATGAAGTCTTGTTACTATGTTGTGCCCACCTGGATATTGGATGTTTTCTCTATCTTTAAGTTGAGAATGACCTTAGTTCCACATACATCATAATTCTTGTTATATATGTAACATTCTCATAGGTTTTGGAAATTATGACAGAGACCTCTGATGAGATATTATGCTATACATGGAGCCCAAATTATCTACCAAATCTCCTATAGGCTTTTGAACTGTTTTTTAGGAAACATGAAATTACAGGGTTGTCTTTTCATCATTATGTATAAGGAGTTTCTCTAAGAGTTGGTACCAAGAATGATGACTTAAATGTCTAATGATTCCTAAAAATGTTTTCTCTGCCCCCATCCTAAACTCCAGCCATATGCAACACATGTAAGAAAGGCCTGCCATTTTGTATACTACATGTTAAACAATGGAAGGGCAGTGGGTATATCTCCAAGTTTCTCCATGAGTAAAAATTGTACTTTAATATAACTAAATTGCTTTGTGGATAATCAAAAATTCCCATGAGTTGGTACATTTATCGAACCCATTTCTCTTTAACACATTTATACAGGATTTTAAAATCTGTAAATTTGGAAGTACTCTTGTTCTATTTTCCCTAAAAGGTATTTGTTGGCTGCCTTTGTGAGCTATGACACATGCTGTGTGCTTAGTTAGTACATCTTAGAATTTATTAACTTTCCTAATCTAAAACTCCGACATTATTGCTATTTATTTGAGTAAAACTACAAAAGCCTGGGGGGGGGGGGTGGTGAAGGCCATGTAGCTGAACTGTAAGTGAACGTTCTCTGTGTTTCTGTGTTTAACTGATCCTTTCATTCTTTGAACTGAAATGCTTTTTGAGAAGGCAGTGTTACTTGTCACTTGCCTGATTGCATAAAGGAGCAAATGTCTATCAGGTAATGGGCACGTGGCAGCCCTACTTCCAGAGTGTGATCTACTGAGTAGAACTCATTCTTGGAATTCTGCCACCTGGCCCATTCAGTAATATTAAGTTCTGAACATGAAATCCTGAATTTGTTTGATATCCTTATTTTTACAGTTTTATGGGCTAATTGGGAAAGATAAACAATGAAGCCCAAGCCCGGAAGGATTTCAGTGGAAATGTAGTGAGCCCTAAGAAGTAAGTTTATGATGATGAACCAAGGAGTTCCTAGAGGAAGAAGTGGCAGTCCTTCCAGGCAAAGGCACAGCAGAAACCCCCAGAAGCTACATATAGTGTTACAGAATGACACAGCATTTGGAGGCTCTCTGTTTCTACCTTTTTAGACCAGATGGGATTTGGGTTAGGTATTATTATTATTGTTGTTGTTGTTATTGTTATTATATTTATTCATTTATTTGGGTAGGGCTAGGAGTGCCACAGAACGTGTGTGGAGGTCAGAGGACAGCTTGTGGAAGTCTGTTCTCTCCTTCTATCGTGTGGGCTCTAGGGACTGAACTTAGGTCATCATATTTTGCTGAAAGCTCCTTTACCTATTGAGCCATCTCTTCAGCCAGAGACTTGGAATTACTAAGGTATTACCTTAGCATCAAGGTGAAATGTTGCTTGTGTTTTGCAATCACCTCTACTTGTTCTTTTCAGGTACACTGCAGTTCACTGCAGTGAAATGTTGGGAACTAAACACACAAATCCTCAATCCAGTGAATATCACCACACCCATGTGTACATGGGCAGAACCAATTTTACTCCATGGGTTTAAAGAAAAAGGTGTACCTGATGTTGGGAGGGGTAGACAGTGAGGGAGTTAAGAGGGAAGAATAGGGGGTGAATATGTTCAAAATACATTGTATGCATGTTTAAAATCCTCAAAATATTAATACAAAATGTATTTTAAAAATGAACCTTGGATAGCGAAGTTTAGGAAGTGGGTTCAGAAGTAATATATTATTTATTGAGAACTTTCCTTACATTGTACAGTCTTTTCAATAGTTAGCATGAATTAACTCCTCAGGTATTCACAGACCCATGGTATATGCTCTATGATAATCAGTTTCAAACCATCTGGCCGACACCAAAGCTACCTATCAAGGGACTGCTGGGTCATAGACAGCAGGGTAGATCTAGAAACATGCTGACATTTTATTCACTGTGTGTCTATCCTAAGTGAACACTTGTGTATTGTCTTTGTATTGGGAGTGAGATATACTTTAATAGCAGTACTATGAAACAGTAGTTTAGCAACAGTCCTGATATAACTACCATTTAGCTTAATTTTGGATAAATGCAATTCTAGACTACATGAGTAGTAGCAAATTACTTCTTAGTGTTCCCTTAAGCCTTACTTGCTTTTGACAGAAAAATGTATAGACCCCTTGACTGTGACACACATATCCGTTTCTTTTGCTAAAGTAGGTGGAATGATGATTTCCTTTTGTCCATGTTGCAATCTTGAAAATAAACTTTTACTTTCTAGTTTAATGTCAAGTGGCCCAGCACAGAGCTCTTCTGGAGCCTTTGGAGTATTCAGTGTGAGAGTCTACTCTATGAAACTGTGACCTTTCTAGTAGCCTTCTTTGAAATATTCATTGACTACTTCCTGAAAGTATGTGTAACAGTAAGTTGGTGGTGGAAGCAGGAAGATGGAGGATGGAGTTGGAGGCCAGCCTGGAGTACATAGGTAGAGTCTCTCTCAAAAACCAGGGGCCAGGATGAATAACCCACAGGCCTGGGTTTAGTTCCCTGTACTGTGGGATGGTGCTGGGGGTATCAACAGATTGCCTAAAGGAAATGAGCTGTATATTTACCATGTCTGCTATCTGCTCACTACATTTCTATAACTGATGAGAACTTTCTTCCATTACAGAAACATTTCTAGGGTAGAACTGACACTGGCATGCAAGCATTCAAGACAGGCTTTGGTGGAATTTACTAGAACTGATTTTGAGAGGGGCACATATCATTTTGAACACTGATACAAAGCCCCTCCCCCCATTTTCAGAAAAAAAGTAACAAAAAACAAACAAAAAAAAACCGTACATTTGCAAAATTTTATATTTCAAAGGGTCCTGGATCCCACCACAATTTACCCATAAATACCATCTAGCCTGTTTCCAAGGACATTTTGGCTATTTCCTGTAGAAAGTATTTGTGCTGCTTTGTAAACATACTCAATAAATCTGAGAACAAGAAAGATGTTTTTTAGTATAGAAATTTCAATTATAAACATGTATGTAAGCTAGTAATTGGAAGTCTTGACTCAGATCTAGGTGTGGCATCTAGGATCATGAGACCACTTGTCCCTAAACATAAATACTTTT